TGTGCAAACACACAGACATGTTTTTCATGAAGGAGTTTAATAAGTGAACATGCCATTTTCCAGAAGTCCGGCTGCAGGCCTGAGCCTCAATGAACTCAGGGTTAGTGCAGTCCCTGCCTCCTGAATCAGCTCCTGACACAGGAGGAGGAGGACAATTACAGTGTGGCCCTGAAACATGAAAAACACTAATGATCTGCAGGGCTGTGAAGCACAGATGTGTGCAATTTGAACAATGATATAAATAAACAGCTTGTTAGAACAAATGATAGATAACCAAAATGTCCCCGAGCCCGTGGTTTAGGAAAAAACGAGGACAAAGCTTCCATTCAACTGTTACTGTGAGAGACACTCCAATCAATGTGCAGAATAAATACAGAGTTTTCATCCTCATCAGCTAAAGGCAGAGTTAGACCTCCCCTGTGGGGGTTTGTCCCTGAAACACTCGGATGCACACACTGACAGCAGATATCACAACTTCCTGCTTCCTGCTGGTCAGAGCAGTGACTTCTAAACTCTGCTGTTGGTTTGTGAAGCGCTTGGTAGTTTAAGGCTGAAACTCGTTTATGAAGTTTAACTTTTATCTGGTTGCTGCTGTATTTTATTACATTACATTTACATATTCAAATCCTGCGTCTTGTACTAAAAGCCATAAAAGACTTTTTTCCATTTTGCAGGGGTTCCAGTCGAGTTTGCAAAACGTGAAAACACAGACGGCTCAAATGTTGAGCTTCCACATACCACAGAGAAATTAGGAGGTTGTCTGAATATGCCAAAAAAAAGGAATTAAACTAACAAAAGAATTTATATTAAAATGTTTAAAAGCCAGAATCATCATGTCAACCCAACCAACTTCAAGCTCTACTCATCAGCCTCATCAGGCCCTTCATGTTTTCTAGCAAGCAGCCGGCACGGTGCTCAGGTTGCTGTTGTTGTGGTCCCTGATATAAATAAGCTGCTTCCATGGAGAGGATCTTCTCTCACGGTCGGACTGGAGCGGCTGATTTCAGGCCTGGTTCTGCTCTGCAGGGTCGGTCTGAACAGGAGCTGGAGCAGATGAGAAGAGGTTTATGTGCACAACACGGATGAGAGAATCACCTCAGAATCAGCTAATCACATTGGACTGTTATTTATCACAAAGTATTTACTAATTCAATGAGGAAAGTGTGCACTGAAGGGAGCCTGCTCTCCACCACCACAGTCAGACTTTCGGTCTGTTGGAAACACTGCGGTCTTTGTAACTTGATCTTTATGTGGGAGGAGATGCAGCTGCTCATTTTGCTGCAGTAAGGTCAGGAGCCTTTAGTAAAAGGGACTCACAGAGGCACACCTTAGGGCGTTTTTACACCCCTGGCTCATTTAATCTGGTCAAATCAAAGTGAAAAATCCAAGAGAACCAAAAACGTTATTGATGTGTCAGATGTGTCAGGGCTAGTCTCTAGCCCGTGCTGACCTTTAGACATCTCAGGTACGTCGCCACATCTCAGAATGTAAAGCCTACGTAACAGGCATGTTCTTGGTCATATCAAGGTCAGATCACATTCCCACCGTAAGAGAACTTCTCTGGAGTTCATCTGGTCTTGATGTAGTTGTTTTGTCCACGCCAGGATGCGATTACCATACTCACATCTGTACAAACAACCCAAAGTTTGAATTAAATGGACTGTAGAGTCTCTTTTCTATCTTTGCCTTTTATTCCTTATGTTAGTCTCACACATGGCTGTAATGTAGATGACGAGCATACTTTTGGACACGTGATGCTAATGCTGACGATGATTAAATCAGGCGAGAGAAAATAGACCGTCATGCACCCCAAAGTCAGAAATTTGCAGTATTAAAGTCTCCTTAACTTCTTCCTGCACGTCTGTGTCAGTCTTGTCATATTGTGCAAGTCAACTAATTCAGCTCATTACAGCTGAATCCATCCGTTCCTTCATGAGGGGGACTGATATTATCAGCACTACAATAAATGTGGGAAAGCCTTTTCTCACCCCGCCCATATCTTCACATCTACAGGAGCGCAAAGGCATCGTACATTAACTGCAAACACATCAATCCCAAACCCGCCTACTGTCTTATCAGTGGGCAGAGTTAATTCATTATGTTCACCCAAGATAAGAAATACATCAGAGGGCAATCGCGCGCACACACACAGACAGACACACACACACACACACACACACACACACACACACACA